CAAACCACAGAGAAATACCTTCATCTCATCTGGACATGTTTAACCCTATAATGCCATTCGTATCATATTTGATAGATGCAGTTTCATTCTGTAACTCATTCTTTATAGTACATTAAATCATCTGTATCAAATTTGATACTGCAGGTTTAAAATATGATTTTCCCCAAATTTTCTGTTTTTGATGTAATCTACGTGATGCTTATAAATGTGATACAACAAATATCTAAAACAAAATAATATGGCAAAAATATTTTTGTGGATTTTGTTATAAGGGTTAATGAACATCTCAGTTCCCAAAAATCAGATTTTTCTGGCTATTCCTTGATAGGTCAGGCATTAAAGGGTTAAAACCTTTGACTGGTGTCAGAATTAGAGACTCTTTACTGTCCCTGAAAGGGAAATTATTGTTGCAGCGGGAGCATATACAGGACAAGGCACAAAAAGAGAAAATAAGAATTAGAAAGAAAAAAAAACAGATTCAAAACAACAACAAAATGAAAGGAAACATTGTACTTGTACAGGTTGTTGCTAACATCTATTCAATCCAGAGCTAATTCCATGAAGAGACAATTATCAGCTACTGCAAAAAGTGCAACATGCAGATGTGCACATAAGCAATGGGAACTAATAACATGAGCAATCTAAAAGCTAGCTGCAATTAAATTAAAAAAGAAAAATGCACTTGAGATTAATCAAATCTGGAGCCTCCTTGTCCCCCTCTTAGGAACCCTAAAGCAGTCTGGGGGCAAAGGCTCAAATTCATTTTGGAATTGATGATTTTGGATTTGACACATTACATATTGTAAAAGGTTGCTCAGAAGTAAAACAACTTGAGCCTGAAACTTACCTTCCAGATAAATTACCTGAATCAAAAAATAAAAGAACCGGTCAAATGTAATTTTTCACAACAGCATGGGGGAAATGAGAGCATTTCTAATTCTTGGAAAAGGTTCACGTATTAAAGAGAATTCAAGGAACCGTCTGCTAGAGTTGTCACGGCGACACAACAGTGGCTACCAGTGTGCTATCGCATAAAACATGGCTTGTATTTTTCAGTTATTCTGAATGAACATATAGAAAATGTCATAGAAATTTCAAATTTAGTCCAACCTTTGACACTGAAATTAAGTGGTTAGCACTGAATAACAATACAAGAATACGCCTAACAGAGCCTAGGACAGCAAATACAGATGTTTCCGAACCTTGATACTTTATCTCGCTGCATCTCCACAATGAGTTTCCATGAATGAGAAGGATAATCTCAACTAAATAGTTGATTAATTCCAGATTTTCTCACACACCACTGAGAAAAGTATGAAGTCAGATGTCATGATGTGGAAAGATGCTGGTAAGAGTTCCTGTGCATTGTGGGCCAGAACGATGAAAGGCGCTTCCTGGATGAATGGGACGTCCACTGAACTATGAATCATCAAAGCGGAAAGACAACAAGGAGACAGGGAGGTTAAAAGGGGCTACAGATCTCTGCTGGAATCGGTTGAGGTTGGTGTGTTTTTGCTTTCATACTGTGAGAGGAGTGCAAGGTGACGCAAGTACCAGGATCCGTGGCACAGCAGCAGACGTCAGAAAGGAAGCAAGACCTCATCGACATGTTGGTTTGAATTCGCACTCGGTTCGTGTGACGAGGGTTGGAGAAGGGTGAGAAGAAGGTTGATTAAGATGTTAAATACTGAAAGAAAATGGTGTAGAGGGGAGCAAAGGACAAATGAGGTTTTTGCAAGGTGAGGTTTTCTGGGTAAATGATGGTGCCAATCTGGCTAATGCAAAACATTGAAGGATTGACTTTCACGTTTTGTTCTTCGACTTCGACTCTATTGGGGCCAATTAAAGTCAGGCCCACCAGGTTAAGCAGAAAGGAGATTTCTCTGTTCCCCAACAGTGGCCTGGTCATTTATTTGCATTACCACCGTGTGCCACGGCTGGAGTGAAACAGTGGTGGATGGTGATCTCCTGCAAGTCATATCTTTGTGTTTTATGATTTTGTTGTTTTATGCTTTGGAGTTTGTGTTTCATGAATTTTGACTGAAAGAAAATGGTGTCGAGGGGAGCAAAGGACAAATGAGGTTTTTGGAAGGTGAGATTTTCTGGGTAAATGATGGTGCCAATCTGGCTAATGCAAAACATTGAAGGATTGACTTTCACGTTTTGTTCTTCGACTTCGAGTCTGTTGGGGCCAATTAAAGTCAGACCCACCAGGTTAAGCAGAAAGGAGATTTCTCTGTGTGGCCTGGTCATTTATTTGCATTACCACCGTGTGCCAGGGCTGGAGTGAAACAGTGGTGGACGGTGATCTCCTGCAAGTCATATCTTTGTTTTTGTTTTCTGATTTTGCTGTTTTATGCTTTGGAGTTTGTGTTTCATGAATTTTTCTGTATTGTAACTCAGCTTCATGCTGATTTGGTGTGCTATATTGGATTGGCCGATATTTTGCATTCTATGCGCATTTTGTCATAGGCTGGAATGTCTTCATTCGCTGATCCAATCAATGACATCATTGATCTGATCTGTAAATGAAGACATCACAGATTCAGTGTTTCACACATATATATTTATCTATGGCTTAAATGAATTTTGGCCATCACTAAAATATTTTGGCACTAGCTGTCAATAGGTAACCGTTATATGAACTTTTGCTATGTGGAGATGCCGCTCTGCTCCTTTGTGTGCGTCCTGCTAATCGATACTCATACCAATTTCCTATCTGATACCAAACTGAAAATACAGTACCGTATTTTCCACATTATAAGGTGCTTCGGAGTATAAGGCGCGCCTTTAATGAATGGCCTATTTTAAAACCGTTTTCCACATTAAAAGGTGCATACAATCGAAGCTACAATAGTGGCTGTGGTTGCGTTATGCATCCAGTAGATGGAGCTATGCTAAAGGGAATACAATACAAAACAACTATATGGAGCTTTCACGACCGCTGCAGCTGTAACAACCCGATTCACAGAACATTTAAAATACTACGTTCTAGATATCAAAATAGTGATCCATATAAAAGGCGGACTGTCGGCTTTTGAGAAAAGTGAATGCATTTAGATGCGGAAAATACGGGAAGTAAGATAACTGACGTATCTAATAAATCTTGGCAGTATCGGAGGCATCGACAGCTCAAACGGTTAGCGCACTGTAACTTTTGTCATGTATGGTGGATGACCACTTCCCTTTGTTGTTCAGTCTGTCACCTGGGGGCGGCTTTGTGGAACAAGCATACTAAGTGCCAGCTTTTGTCCATCAACTAAACTCAACTCAACTGTATTTACAGAGCACTTTCAAACAGCCATAGCTGCATACAAAGTGCTGTACATGGAGCAATTAACATATACAATATACAACAATAAAGCAATAATCAGTAACAAAGATGGTAGTAGGCACCAAACAGTAAAACTAAGATCAAATCAATAACATCAAATCAAGCTCTCTCTGTCATTCTTATCAATCACCGTTTGGAAATGTTAATTTTCACTTCTAAGAGGACGAGTGATGATTGACATGATAGGAGACAAGTTACGATATACAGTGCCCTGCAAAAGTATTAGCCCCCCCCCCTTGAACTTGTTGACCCAGATCAAATTCAAAATTAAATTCGATTTACCTTTCCAAGCACTTTGCCAGAGTTTGCTCTGAGGGGAAAGCTGTCTCCTCCTTTCTGCAGTGCTGATATCTATGAAAGAAAAAAAAAACACGTATACTGGAGGTCAGAAACATAATTAAGAATTTTAAAAAACAGTTACTTTATGAAAGGTATGACTGATTTGTTTTCTTTATTCTCTGGTTCTTTTTGATGCATGAACTTTTCAATACCAACATCTCGCTTCTAAAATGAGAAAAATTGTGCTAGAATGGCCTTGGGGTTTGGTCTTGACGTCGGGGATATCTTCATTAATATTTGAATTTGTTTTTTAGTAAAACACTTTCATTTACAACATGATGATGCTTTACAAACCAAGGATAAAGCTAAACCATTTTATATGGTGAGGTGAGTTAAGTCATTTATACAAACCACAGAGAAATACCTTCATCTCATCTGGACATGGATTATCCGGTAGGGGGCACACTGATTTCTCCTTAGTTTGTAAAGTGTCGGCAGGGATTAAATTTAGATGTTATAAGCACATGTGTAAGTGGTTTAAAAATTCCCTTCTTTATAAATCTCGTTAAATCTTAAAATGCATGAACCGTTTTCCACATTAAAAGGTGCATACAATCGAAGCTACAATAGTGGCTGTGGTTGCGTTATGCATCCAGTAGATGGAGCTATGCTAAAGGGAATACAATACAAAACAACTATATGGAGCTTTCACGACCGCTGCAGCTGTAACAACCCGATTCACAGAACATTTAAAATACTACGTTCTAGATATCAAAATAGTGATCCATATAAAAGGCGGACTGTCGGCTTTTGAGAAAAGTGAATGCATTTAGATGCGGAAAATACGGGAAGTAAGATAACTGACGTATCTAATAAATCTTGGCAGTATCGGAGGCATCGACAGCTCAAACGGTTAGCGCACTGTAACTTTTGTCATGTATGGTGGATGACCACTTCCCTTTGTTGTTCAGTCTGTCACCTGGGGGCGGCTTTGTGGAACAAGCATACTAAGTGCCAGCTTTTGTCCATCAACTAAACTCAACTCAACTGTATTTACAGAGCACTTTCAAACAGCCATAGCTGCATACAAAGTGCTGTACATGGAGCAATTAACATATACAATATACAACAATAAAGCAATAATCAGTAACAAAGATGGTAGTAGGCACCAAACAGTAAAACTAAGATCAAATCAATAACATCAAATCAAGCTCTCTCTGTCATTCTTATCAATCACCGTTTGGAAATGTTAATTTTCACTTCTAAGAGGACGAGTGATGATTGACATGATAGGAGACAAGTTACGATATACAGTGCCCTGCAAAAGTATTAGCCCCCCCCCCTTGAACTTGTTGACCCAGATCAAATTCAAAATTAAATTCGATTTACCTTTCCAAGCACTTTGCCAGAGTTTGCTCTGAGGGGAAAGCTGTCTCCTCCTTTCTGCAGTGCTGATATCTATGAAAGAAAAAAAAAACACGTATACTGGAGGTCAGAAACATAATTAAGAATTTTAAAAAACAGTTACTTTATGAAAGGTATGACTGATTTGTTTTCTTTATTCTCTGGTTCTTTTTGATGCATGAACTTTTCAATACCAACATCTCGCTTCTAAAATGAGAAAAATTGTGCTAGAATGGCCTTGGGGTTTGGTCTTGACGTCGGGGATATCTTCATTAATATTTGAATTTGTTTTTTAGTAAAACACTTTCATTTACAACATGATGATGCTTTACAAACCAAGGATAAAGCTAAACCATTTTATATGGTGAGGTGAGTTAAGTCATTTATACAAACCACAGAGAAATACCTTCATCTCATCTGGACATGTTTAACCCTATAATGCCATTCGTATCATATTTGATAGATGCAGTTTCATTCTGTAACTCATTCTTTATAGTACATTAAATCATCTGTATCAAATTTGATACTGCAGGTTTAAAATATGATTTTCCCCAAATTTTCTGTTTTTGATGTAATCTACGTGATGCTTATAAATGTGATACAACAAATATCTAAAACAAAATAATATGGCAAAAATATTTTTGTGGATTTTGTTATAAGGGTTAATGAACATCTCAGTTCCCAAAAATCAGATTTTTCTGGCTATTCCTTGATAGGTCAGGCATTAAAGGGTTAAAACCTTTGACTGGTGTCAGAATTAGAGACTCTTTACTGTCCCTGAAAGGGAAATTATTGTTGCAGCGGGAGCATATACAGGACAAGGCACAAAAAGAGAAAATAAGAATTAGAAAGAAAAAAAAACAGATTCAAAACAACAACAAAATGAAAGGAAACATTGTACTTGTACAGGTTGTTGCTAACATCTATTCAATCCAGAGCTAATTCCATGAAGAGACAATTATCAGCTACTGCAAAAAGTGCAACATGCAGATGTGCACATAAGCAATGGGAACTAATAACATGAGCAATCTAAAAGCTAGCTGCAATTAAATTAAAAAAGAAAAATGCACTTGAGATTAATCAAATCTGGAGCCTCCTTGTCCCCCTCTTAGGAACCCTAAAGCAGTCTGGGGGCAAAGGCTCAAATTCATTTTGGAATTGATGATTTTGGATTTGACACATTACATATTGTAAAAGGTTGCTCAGAAGTAAAACAACTTGAGCCTGAAACTTACCTTCCAGATAAATTACCTGAATCAAAAAATAAAAGAACCGGTCAAATGTAATTTTTCACAACAGCATGGGGGAAATGAGAGCATTTCTAATTCTTGGAAAAGGTTCACGTATTAAAGAGAATTCAAGGAACCGTCTGCTAGAGTTGTCACGGCGACACAACAGTGGCTACCAGTGTGCTATCGCATAAAACATGGCTTGTATTTTTCAGTTATTCTGAATGAACATATAGAAAATGTCATAGAAATTTCAAATTTAGTCCAACCTTTGACACTGAAATTAAGTGGTTAGCACTGAATAACAATACAAGAATACGCCTAACAGAGCCTAGGACAGCAAATACAGATGTTTCCGAACCTTGATACTTTATCTCGCTGCATCTCCACAATGAGTTTCCATGAATGAGAAGGATAATCTCAACTAAATAGTTGATTAATTCCAGATTTTCTCACACACCACTGAGAAAAGTATGAAGTCAGATGTCATGATGTGGAAAGATGCTGGTAAGAGTTCCTGTGCATTGTGGGCCAGAACGATGAAAGGCGCTTCCTGGATGAATGGGACGTCCACTGAACTATGAATCATCAAAGCGGAAAGACAACAAGGAGACAGGGAGGTTAAAAGGGGCTACAGATCTCTGCTGGAATCGGTTGAGGTTGGTGTGTTTTTGCTTTCATACTGTGAGAGGAGTGCAAGGTGACGCAAGTACCAGGATCCGTGGCACAGCAGCAGACGTCAGAAAGGAAGCAAGACCTCATCGACATGTTGGTTTGAATTCGCACTCGGTTCGTGTGACGAGGGTTGGAGAAGGGTGAGAAGAAGGTTGATTAAGATGTTAAAGACTGAAAGAAAATGGTGTCGAGGGGAGCAAAGGACAAATGAGGTTTTTGGAAGGTGAGATTTTCTGGGTAAATGATGGTGCCAATCTGGCTAATGCAAAACATTGAAGGATTGACTTTCACGTTTTGTTCTTCGACTTCGAGTCTGTTGGGGCCAATTAAAGTCAGGCCCACCAGGTTAAGCAGAAAGGAGATTTCTCTGTTCCCCAACAGTGGCCTGGTCATTTATTTGCATTACCACCGTGTGCCA